ACCGTGGCTGCAGGCACTAAAGCCAGCCTCTCCTTCCTCGACTGTCCCACTGAAGATGTACGCCTGACTGCCAGTACAGTTATTGGTAAGATGATTTTATTTTACATGTTTATGCTTTTTTAGTTTTTCTTGTAACTTTTTTTTTTTAAGTCATGTCTATCATAGTTTCCTTGTTAAAGAAATATTAAAGGTATAACGTTCATAATGGCATCTCTAAACACTCATGTTTGTATGAATATGAGCCAGAGCTTTAAGAACATTAGCATAGCTTAGCATGAAAACTGGAGACAGGCAGAAAAGTAATATCATTTTGTTTTTCTGTTTCAATAACAGGGTGCCAAAATGTGACTTCCTGCCCTACGACCCTCCTCACTGTACCCAAACTGGACTCCTGTCTACCGATGCCCCTCCACAGCTTCACCTGGCACCTGTCCGCCCCTCAGGACAGGACCGTGGAGCTGAAGTCGCCCACAGGAAGCCTCAGACAGTCGCTGCCCGGCCAGGAGTGTAATAAGTCCGTCTCCCTGCACGTGGCAGAGGGCGATGGGTTTCCTGTTGGAGATTTCTGTGCTCAAGGAATTATCCAGAAAGTCCAGGTGCAAGGCAATGTTTCTGTCACAGCCACGGGCCGGGACTTCAGCAAGACCGGGGGGCAGTTTCTCAATGTCAGCTACAGTCAGGATATCCCAGGTACATCATGAATACACTCCTTATATTTATTTATATATGGATTCATCTGCAGGTTATTTTTTTGGCCAATGGGTTAATGAGTTGTTTTTCTTATGTATCTTTCTTTACAGCTACTGCACCTTTTTGATTAAATGTCTTATTGGACCAACAATCCAAAACCAGAGATATGTCATTTAATATCATATATATTAAAGGCAACAAATTGTTTATTTAAAAAAGCCTGAATCTGAGAATTGTGGGCATTTTAGCTCGAGCTCTACAATGTTGTCCTTTTTATTTATGGCTGGATTTGAAATAAGAAAGTGCTAACATGTTAATCAAGTTGAGTGGATTTTTATTTACCAAAATAATAAATGTAGCTTTCTATCTGCACTCTTCTGACATTTGTAATGCTGCTATATGTTGTGTTTTTCCAGTGTAATTAATAGAGCACATTCCTTTTACTTCAAAGTTCCACACAGGGGCACTATTGTTCCACAGATCCTGGTGAATACAGTCCTGACACTCAGCAATAAGGCCATCTGTTTTTTTTTTAGAGAGCATCATTTACAGAGTCAGTCCAAAGGAGTTGTCTCCCACCCTGCTGGCCACCCCCAACTGGCCTCAGGGTATGAAGCCTATGTCCACCGTGGCCTGGATCGTCACGGTACCGAGTGGGTACGAGGCACACGTGCAATTTGTCAACATCAGCCAGCCCAAATGCAAAGACAGGCACACCTCCATCAAGGTGAGGATGCTGGGGGCGGAGGAGGAGATGATGAGCCGCAGGGAGGATGAGCAGGCGGAGGACAAGCTGACCGTGCCGCAAAGTTTCTATCTCAACATGTCCAACTGTATACCTGAGGAAGGGGAATTTGCTTTACTGACCAAAATCGTTCTGCAGAATAAATCCAGTAAGAAAGCAGGACACATTCAGGCCTTTTACAAAAATATTCCATTAGGCTAAAGTAAAGGATTTAATTTATTTATTGTTATTTTATTTTATTACAGATCTCTTGGCCATCTTCCTTGGGATAGCAGGAGCTCTTCTGTTGCTGCTCTTAGTGCTGGGCCTTTATTGCTTCATCACAAAGTGAGTACACCGGTAGCTTTGTTAACATCGCGGCGCTGTATTTTCCAAATTCTTAAATATAAAAGTAGCAAACCTACCATTTTAATCCTACATCACAAACTGAAGAATAAAAACTTTTGAGTATTCTTGTAACTTTGGAAATAAATACACCCCATATGGATACAGTACAGAGGAAGGTTTTGCACATATACAACTATAGAACATTTCAATCTCATTTGGTTTGTAGAAAAACCCAAAACTGGTTAAATCCTAGTTATAAAAGGAGTTAAATTCTAATTGGCTCTGTCAGTCAAAAATATTAACAAATACAGAAATGGAACAAAATAAAGAAATTATACACTTATTAATAGTTTAATACCCCTCAAAAAAGCACTTTTAAATGTTATTTATGTATTTTTTCATATTTTTGATTGCATTCTTAGGTGTGTAGTGATATTTTTGTCTATATTCTGTAAGATTAGTCTGTAACCACCTACGTCTTTTGATTCTTTCTCATTGTTTATGGTCTGCATTTATCTTGTCAAACAGGAAAAAGAAACAGGACAAAATGAACATAGAGTCGTCCATCTACATGGGCAAAGGGAACATGTTCCGCCCTAGTGACAGGCACTTCACCAAAACTCGGTCTGATAACGAGTCCCACGTCTACGACTCCATAGACGATTCGAGGGTGTACGGCCACCTGCTGGGCGACGTCAGCTACGCGGACAGCATGCAGGACCACTACAACGGGGTGCAGACAGACTCCTATCAGACATTCACCGGTCCCACTGATGCACAGCTGCCTGTCATCAAAGAGCCGGACCACGAGCCTGAGATGGATCAGTTCAATTCGTTCCTGGACCCGTCCCAGTCCTTCCTCCCGCCCCGTCCACGTACTCCCATCAACCGGCAGGACAGCATCGGCTTCGAGGACCGCAGGATGGTGGACAATGAACTGTACACATTCAAGAGCACAGGGGACATAACCACCATCCGGCTGTCTGGTGTCGACATGGATTCACAGCCCCCCATTATATTAGAGGACTCCTTGTAGTGTGTCAGGACTGTAGCTGCCTGCCGGACCGCTGTTACTGAATCATCCTCAGAGTGCCGAGTATCTTTAGACTGTACTGATGTGAACTCCGTGCCTCGATCACACTCAGGGAATCTGAGATCGATGAGTTTCTGAATGTGATGAATATCTCCTCTTTGTCCGCTATTTCTAAAGCTTCAAGTGAAGCCCTCTTCTTTAAAGAAAGTTAGGCATTTTGGGAGATACCTTTTAGATTTTTTGCAGAAATGTGAACAAGAAAATCGATTCCATTTTCAAGTCTGCCCAGTAAATATACCTTACAAAGACACCTCTAAAGCTCTTAATGATTTATACGGATTCAACAAACAAGATATAATGTTATAATCCGTGGGCTTTAGAGGTGTTGGTAAGTGGGAGATATATAGATACAATTAAGATGTCATAGATAAAAGGAGTCAAAATGTAACTTCTCATCCAACTTTCAGTAAGTTAGTAAAAAATGAGAGACTATTCCTTTTTAATGTTTGATTTGTTTAGTTTTATTACATCTTTGCCTATGTGGCATGGATTCAGGAGCAGGGACAGTGCCAAATGTGCAAGTACCTCTGGTCCTTGTTTTGTTAGTGTTTTTATATTGTTTACTTGACTTTTAAAGAGATTTTCTGTACCTGTAAATATAATGTAATTTTTTTTGCAATAAATTCTAGAAAAATGGTCTGAAACTGTTTACTTAAAGGTGACCTATCATTAAAAATGCACGTTTGTACGTCTTTTATACATGAATATGTTTCCCCGGTGTGTCAGGGAACTCACCAAGTGTCAGAAAACATAACCCTCTCTCTTTTCCTCCATACCCAAATCTCTAAAAACGGGGCTGCAACGGATCTGATACAGACTGATCCAGATTTGAATTATTTTCTACGCTTCGCTTCTTTTTGTCCCTCTTCTCCGCTGCAGCCCAGCAGCTGATCTCAAAGCACGCTCCCCTCTCCTGCAGGGGGGCGTGGTCAGCTGCAGCTCACAGAATCAGCCCCCTGCAAAAACAGCGCTGGAAAGAGCATGTAGAGCGAAATGAGGCATGGCTAAAATGCAGGATCTGACAACAAATGAGGAGCCAGGATTACATAGTTGTACCACATTTATTGCAGCTGCAGTTGTTCAATTTAACAATGTCCATGATGAGACCTGTTAAATGAGGCTGTTCCAGTGGATGCTTAGAATTGATTCACCTCCTCTCTCTCTTCTTTCTCACACCCTCCTTCTCATCTCTCCAAACAAGGAAAAATACTGATGTCAAAAACTGCCATTTGCAGGAATAACAAACTGACCTCAGGAGCATTAAAGGATGGCGTGCATGCATCTCAGCTGGCTCCAAACCCTTCAAATGGAAAGCCAATACAAACCAGAACCATGCCTGGAAAGCATGTGGAGGCTGGCAGACAACTTTCATCAAAGTGTATATATAAAATAAGTAAACAAATCCTGACTCATGTGCTGCATAAATCCTTAAAAATCTGGTTACAATTCCTTGGCTTTAAAGAGTAGTTAAAACCTGAATAAAAGGATGGGAATACAACTTTGTTGGCCAAAATATTTTTGGAAGTCTTTAGGTATGGCCTCATTTGGAACAAATCCTATATAATATATATATATATAAAGTGGGCAAAATCTGATCAGCTCATTTTCAGACAGGTTTTTATATAAATGGATCGGGACAAAAAGAGAGCGAATCTCTTTATACATGTTTATGCATAAAAGACATGAAAAAGTGGATTTTGCACAATAGGGGACCTTTAAATGTTGTGTAACTTTATGAACTATTCTCTGTATACATGTTATATTGCCCAATCTGCTGCAGGACCTCTGCCCATAGGAGTTTGTTTAGGACGTGTCTGCTCTCAGCCAGCACACACACCCCACAACAGTCTGAGTGGAAGTGATCCAGAGTCACATCTGGTCCTTCTGGAAGACCGACACGTGGCGGGAACAAAAGGACATAGACAGACTGGACTTTATTTTTGGAGTTAGACTGTGATCTTTGTTTCATTACTAAACAAAACTGAACTTAGGCTTGATAGGAGGGAATAAGAGTTTATAAACGTTTTTGTGAAAGATATACTGTTGCCACAGCCACTTGCAACATAGTCCCTTGTACAGGGATTAAAATCCTAAAATATTAAATACCATATAAAAAGGTATTATAATTCAAGTACAAAGAGGAAAGGCAGTAGAAATGAATTTTTATTAGAAAAATCTAAATACATGTACATAAAATGTAAATGATGTTAACCAAGGAAGCCAACTTTCTGTCGTGCTTTCCCCAAACTCTCCTCCTGCTGCAGCAGCTTCATGAGCGGAGCATGGAGGGCCTTCCCGACACGTTTACCTGCCTGCAGACAACACAACCTTTTAGAACATTTCTACCACACATCCTCATTCAAACATAAACATATTCAGAACCTGGAAGAGTCGAAGAGGAGGGCCACACTCACCTCTGTCATTTCAAAGATGCTCTCCGGATCCAGGCTGCCTCCGCCCACCTTCCTGGTGCAGGTGATCGTGCCCTTGTGTGTGACAGATATTATCAGGCTGGCCACAGAGCAGGCCTTCTCCTGCAGAGTCGCATCCACCACATGCCTGTGGCCCACCTGCAGGAAAACAGCCAATGTCAAGGTCACTGTTTGTGTGATGATGGTCTTTAAAAATATTTTTCTCCTGAGTATCAGCAGGGTAGCTCACCTTGCACAACGTCACGATGCAAGGAACGTTTTCTACATTGAGTCTCACGCAATCATAAGGGTCGTCTGACAGCTCAATTTCCTTCCCTCCTTCCTCGTCGGCCGATATGTGCACTCTGGGAATTCTGTCAGTAAGGTAATCAGAAGATATATATGTTATATCACTTTACTGTATAAGAATTAGACGCACAACAGCTGTAAGACATCATATTATTTCGCAGTCTGATCAACAAAGACCCCTAAAAAACAACAGGATAACATTTTTCTTACTTTGTGTTGAAGAGAGCAGCCTTGATGGCTACTGAGATGGCATCGTAAAGGTTTCCATCACACTGCAAAAGCTGTGGAAACATGCCAGTGTGAGATTTCATCTTAGATACGATCATGGGAACTAAATATACATTGACAAAATTAGCTGTTCTGAGGTCAATTATGCAAATTTGATTATTCCTCCACTGAAACAAGGAAAGAAGCGCTGCTGCTCTGCATGGTTTATCAAACAGTATTTGACATGCAATAACTAGTTATCATTGTGTCATACAAATAGCAATTGGAAAAAAAGTAAAGCAAATATGATTTTTAAAAAAACAGAGGATTTCTAGATATGTTTTAGGACACATTAGTGCTGCTCAATTATTAACATTGAGATTAAATGATTTTAGCAACAATATGTTATTAAACTTTCACAAAAAAAGAACAGAACATTGCTCTCACTTTCAAGCTAATTACCAAATATTTGTATCAAAATGAATGGCATAGGTAGTCAGGATTTCTGATTTTGATGTGAAGAATGATAAAAGAGAGATAGAGAGAGGCACACCTGGCCATTAGCCGAGCTATGGGGGCTTAATGCTGAATTGCCATGAGGGATACTGAAAGACCTTATCAGATGCTACTCACCAGTACGTCCACGTAAAGGACCCAGCAGTGCTCTCCTGCGCTGATACACAGGCTCTTCAGGTCCACACTGTGTTTGTTGTTGAAGACTTTGTAGAGTGTGTTACTCAGCTCCGTGCCTAGCTCCTCGCCTCCTCTGCCCTCAAACTCAGGGGTTGCATTGGCTGAGCTAGAGATGGGGAGACAAGAAACATGAGCCAACAGAATATCTCTAAGTCCGATATGATTTATTCTAACTTGAGAAGGTGGAAACCTGCTGACCCACTAGCTTTCTGCACACGTGTTGTTATAAATATGATCGTATTTTCCCTACTAATGTGTTTTTTGTCTTGGGATGTGTTGGAGATGCATGAACATATGTTACAACACCACACCCTGGTGGAAGGATTTGCATACAAAATAGTCCCAAAAACTGTTCGCATATTACAAAAGAAGAAATGTCTCTTTATCCATTCCTGTTGGTAAATCAAATCAACGTTTATTGATTTAGCCCAATATCACAAAACACGTTTGTCTCAGTGGGCTTTACAGATTAACAAGCATGAATGAGAGTGTAAAATATAGTTAAAATTACAAGAAGAAACAAAAACAATCATGATAGACCATGAAATAAAATGTATGACAGTAAAAACAATACAATAAAATGTAGGACTTGGGAGGACAAACACAGGGACATTTAAAACCGGCTCTAGCTGAGTTTATTAAAAAGGAAAGTCTTAAACAAGCTCTTAAAATGTTGGACATTGTCTGCTTCCCTAATAAAAAGAGAATGTCGGTTCCAAAGCAAGGGAGCTTGGTAATGCAAAGCTTCGACTCCTGATCTGGTTTTCCGGATCAGATAAAATGTCTGTCTTTTTGGGACACTTTTTAGTGTTCATGCCATGATACCTTTTTATTTATTTATTGTGGGCAGTAATAATATAGAGTGAACTATCAAATAAATATGGAGAGATTATATAGGCTTATTATAGAAAGTCACATTTCCATGTGACTTTCCAGAAACATTATTATATCATGATATGTTATACTATGGTATAAAATACTTTGATGCCTCCTAAAAGGTTGTAATTAGAATTGCTATAATAACTGATTGGCTTGGAAGCCAACACTTTAAAAGTAAACCTCATTCTAACAAGCCAAAGTCTTACTTCACTCATGACAACATGCACCAAACCTACCAGTCAACAAAGAACTCCACGTAGCCTTCATTTGGCACCTTGGGCCTCGGTTTTCCAATGTCAGCTTTAACCCCGACTAGAACCGCCGTGTCCCCCTGAAAGACAAACAGAACATCAGAAAGTAGTAAAATAATCAATAAGTCTTGGGCAATTTGGATAATATCTCCTGGGTGAGACGCTCCTTCTCTCCAGCCAATCTAAACTGTTTTCTGGCCCATAGTTTGATGGTCTTTAATACCATTAGTTTCATTGTTGGGGTGACATTATGACCCCATTATTATTATTATTATTATGATTAATAATAAATATTATGAGACATTACCAGTGTGACTTTGGCTGATCCGTCTGTGTTAGACACCACATCAGTCTCTATTTCCATGTGTCTGTAGTCCTCACAGCCTCTTCCGTCCACTCGCAAGTCATCCTGAATAAAATAATGCACATTATTGTATATGGGGCATTCTACCGAATTAGTACAAAGCACAACAAGAAAAACTATTTAACAAAACAATTAAGTATTCAGACATAGATATTTACTAAGAATATGTTATGGTCTATTTAAACACAAGGCATTCAATTATATAGTGATAAGCTTAATATATACAAAAACATCATTTATAGGGTACTTTCTATTGGGAAGTAGCTGTCCCCAACCCGGACATCTACATTTCAATTTCCAAAATCAGAAAATCGGCGTGTAACCTTAAGAATTGTCACTACCGAACACATATTATCTTCAATTAAGTAAACTTTTTTGGGGTTTCATGCAAAGTATTATGTTTTTAAGTGTGTAAACCTCTTCAAAGACGTGTATGCTAGCCATGTACTTGCTAGCATTCTTTAGTTATGCTCAATTTTTAGCTAGAATCGTCACTACTGAAACAGTCACTACCGAAACATATGGTTACGTTTCGGCAATTTACATGATCGTTTCGGTAGTGACAAAATTGAATAGTAAGCAGGTAAATCCCATAGTTTTGAAATAAATGTGTTTTAAAGTCTGAAAATCAGTGTGTTAATTTAAAGGTCTCTTATTATACTATTTGTAGGCATATATTATAGGTCTCAGATATATAAAAAACATGTCTATGAAGTGTTTTGCTCAAAATACCAAACAGATCATGCATTCTATCCTCATTCCCCTCTATTTCAGCCTGTTACTAAAGGGCTGATTCTGGGTCAGTAGCTTTCAAATATTCACACTTCAACATAAGGCATGTTATGATTTAAGATTAAGCAATAAGGTTGAGGGAATATGATACAAGCTTGAGAACAAAATACTGTGGTCACTAACGAAACACTGGATGTTTTGTAAAAAATTAAGTATATTGAGTTATCAACTAAAATGATATGATACTGATTGGTTTAATGTATGTTCAATTCCAACAATCATCAACTCTGGAATCAATATGATCAGTATTATGCATTTCACAAAGAAAGTTTGCATTATGATTTTTATGAATTGTATAAATTGAACTTTGAAATTTGATAAAAAAAATGCATTGCATTGATTTAATTGAGAAAACCCTCAAGAAATATTTGTTAAAATACTATTTAGAGAAGGGAAGGTAAAACAATCTTAACAGGTTAATATAATCAGGGCTGCACATAACTGGTGCGCAGGTGCGCATGCGCACCTCCGCCAAAAAAAAGCACCGGGTCATTTGAAACAAAGCGCATTTGCGTACCAACATTGAGAGAGGGAGAGAGAAAATAGAGGAGAGATGTGAGATGTGAGGTGAGAGAGAGAGAGAGAGAGAGAGAGAGAGAGAGAGAGATTTGCGAGTTGCATATGAACCATGATATGAACTCAGGGCCGGCCCGTAGCGCTGGCTAGATGTTCGCCTAGGGCGCCAGATCTGGGGAGTCGCTGCGTTGGCAGTTCTGGGAGGGAAAAAACCATTTTGACCGTTGGGGCTCATCCTAATTTTCGGACTTGATGTAACAATATTCACAATTAAGTAAATGTAACACCCTTTTCACCCCGGTTCCACCTTTCATTTGCCATGTACGATGGGCGCTGTAAGTGATGAAAATGGGGGATGTTGGCTTATCTGGCGCCCGCAGCTCACAGACAAAATGCGAGTGAGCGAGGGAGAGAGGGAGGGTGGTACCAGCGCTGTTGTTATTATAATCTGGTGCCGTGCTAGCTGCTCTAACGGAGATAATAAGAAGATGTTTCTTCAATAATGTGGAGGGAGAGTCCTCTCCAGTCAGACTGAGAGGCTGATGAGTTAACTACAGCTCAGTGAGGTAAAGGACTCTTAGTCTAAGTTCAAACGGTTTGGTCACAATTTATGTAAACACATATTTCCAAGGCACTCCTTTGTAATTATTGGGATAAACAGGTTTTAAATCATTCCAATGTATACTATAGGACAGTAACCAAAAATATCCTTTAAAACTGGAGAGATACAAAAAAAATGCATAAATAAATAAATGTTAAAGTAAAATAAGATATGAATGAACACAAATAAAATAAGTTACATTAATTTGTTATTGGCTATGGTAGGCTATTGGTTATGTTCACATACTTATTTGATTACATCCACTTGTCTAAGATGACAACAGAGACTTTCGACTCAAACCCAGCTGTTGACTTGTGGATGCAAGCAGCTAATCGCAGACTCAACCAGAGAGAAAGTAGTAGGCCTACATCATCAGCTACCATGTCTGACAGAGAGGAAGACAGTGAGGAGAACAGTCAGGAGGGTAGTGATGACAGCTTGTAGGATTACTGGTCGTGCTAATGTTGTCTTGTGTTCACCTCTGCATGTGTGTTCAGTGTTCACCTCTGCATGTTCTGTGTTCACCTCTGCAAGTGTGTTCAGTGCCGTGTGTCTGGCAAATAAAGTGAAGACCCCCTCAAAAGTTACGGTTTATTTCATTTTAAGGATGAGCACCAAGCAACATCTCCAGGTGCTCCTTTGAGAACCAGGGCAAAAAAGTTATGTGCACCCCTGAATATAATACTTTTTTACTACAGTGTATTTAACTACGTTTCGGTAGTGACCATTTTTGGTAGAGGAAGAACATTCCAATACAGTCTGAAAATACGATGTACAAATGTACGGTTATTTTACTAGATATGTGTAATTTAGATACAAAACATTTCCAACCTGACTTTGCACCAATTCGGTCGAATGGCCCATATACAGTCAATGGTCAATTGCTAGTGAGCTAATGCTACACAGTTCCTACCGCTGCAGAGCACATCACCCTCGTGGCATGTGTCGATGTTTTGGGGTTAACAGGAGTTAAAGTCTGAAATATAGATGATACCAACTTACCCGTATACCATGAAGGATATACACCTTTTCAGCCTCGCTAACTTGTACTGTTGCCATTATGTGAAAAACACTGCTAGCATGTGTGTGTCGGTCGCTCTTCTTCTACGTCATCAAGAGACGACGCAGTTCGAGTTTTTTTCCTTCTATGAACAACTGAACACAGTTGGGAACATAGATCTTGCAGAAATACATACATAAACAATTAGTTTAATTCATACGTTATCAAACTAAATGAAATAACATTATGTATTAAATAAGCATGGCTTGTGATACAAATCAAAACAATAAAAAAGTGAGTTCAATGTTTTCATTTGTGAAAAAAATGATTTGAAATCATTTGTAAATCATGCAAAGGAGTCACTTTTTTTGTTTAGTATGACTAGCAGTATATTAGTTTATTTTACCTTTGGGGAAATAGCTATTCTAATACATTCAGAATGAGCTTTATCCAAGATAGACAAAGTGTCCTTATCAGGCACCTGTACACTGATCAGTGGCAGATTAAAGTGGCCAGGGTCCCACACCAAATTGTTGTTAAATATTTGTCATGGGCTGATAGGGGTCAAGTTTGTTTCTTTCTCTGAATTCTTGTTTTTAATCAGTACAACATAATCTGGATAATCCATGATGACCCTTGCACTAATGGAACCTCTCTAGGCAGCAGCATTGACAGGATGTGCATTAATCCACCCCTGCCTCTAAATGGCAATTAAACGCTTTGCATTTCAAAACAGCACTAATACAATCTACATTTGTTAACATTTAATTTAGCACATAATCAGCCTATTATGACAATATGTTATATATACAAATAATCAGAATCAAGTTTATTGCCAGAGGTTTACACATACAAGGAATTTGCTTTGGTGTATGATGAATCAAACAACATGAACAACATAAGAAACAATGTGAAACAGTTTATAGTGCAGGGCAGTGTATCAGTAGGCTGGGTGAATCTTCCGCCTGACAGACTCAGCGCAGGGCACGAACGCCCAGGAAGATAGTATCGGACTTTCCTGGTCGCCTCTGTTGCTCTGCTCCTCCTGTAAAGCTGCCTGGAGAGGGGGAAGCTCTAGCTAGGTTACGGCCTGTTTTAAGGCTCAGTCCCCTGCTGTAAGTAGCGTACTTAAAAGGTGAATTAACACCTCTTCGACACCGAGGCGAGCTGCGGAGAGCATCTGTCCGCAGAGCAGTGAGGTTAGCTGGGATTGCGCTAACAGGAGGAGGGGACTCAGTTCCGTGTTTTTATCTATCAGGCTTCAGACGAAGAATTACAAGAAACTTTTGGAGATATACCTGGAGAGTGTGAGGTATGTTTGTGAAAAACAGCGGACGTTAAATAATGCTATTTTACTGTAACGTGGATAACGCTTTAAGGCGGTTACAATCAGCTATCCATATGCTGCTCCAGGTGCCAGAGCTACTTCCTGTTCGCGTTAATTGCATTATCATATTGGGAAGTTATTTAATTAATCGTGGATCACTGATCACTAACTGGAAAGACCCCATTGGTTATGACAACATACTTCCCCTTTTTACTCACCCATCTTTTGGGAGGTCAGAGGTTGATGTAGCTAGAGTCTTGCTCAAGGGCACTTCAGAAATGTTGACTCCCTAGTTATTACCTTTAAGATTTCCAACATGAGTTGCTCATAAGTAGTGCAAGGCGGAAGGTCTATACCAGGGGTGCCCAACCTTTTTTGAACCGAGAGCTACTTTTAAAGTTGCCAGTCTGCCGAGATCTACCAGTCCAAATAGAGAGGCATAGCCATTACTGACAGCCTACTATCAGGTAAATACACACTTCTACTTGTATAAAACTGACCTTTGTACGATTAATACTTCATAAAATACTGCAGATGCTTTATCTTACCTCTTCCTAATCTACATACAAGTATTTAACTGAAGTTACACAACAATGTTGTTGATACAGAGTTTGAGTTTATTCACACGACACGTCACATACTACAGTGGGTAATGTTTTCAAGAAACATTGAACAGTGCTGCCACATATAACACAGGGGAAAAGAAAAGACTCTGAACCCTTTCTTTGCCATTAAAATTAGGCTTACTAATAAGACAACTCAGATCTGAAGCTACACAGGAATCTGCTGCCAAAGTGCAATAAAAAAGACAAAATTAATAGAATCAAACCCTTTTTTTGTTGCATTTTAGTAGATTATAAAAATAAATGCCTTTTTTAAAATAGGATGCAAGCAACACTAGTTTCTTAACCTGAATTGATAATAGACTATAATCAATTTAAGTTTGCATTCTTATACAATTTTGTACAATAATTATAATGAATAAGTTCAAACAAACTAAAACTTACAGCTGATTAATAACGGTATCTAACTTGAGTTTTTATTATATCAAAAACCTGTTGAAATGCTACTGTTATTTTTATTGTCCCCCAAAAGCGCGTCGGCAGCCTCCAGGAAAGCTTCTTTCACAATTTCGCCGTCTTTGAAAGACTTCATATGTTTCTCAAGAACGTGACTGACACGATAAGATGCTCTGGTAGCAGCCTTGCTCTTGATGTTGGGCCTGGAGAAAATGGACTGCTGTGCATTTAGCTGTCCTTTCAGGCCCCTCCCCTTTTGGAGCGTAGGGCAGAATTAGGAGGGAATTCCGTCTCGTCGCGTTTGTGCACTGTTTTGAAATGCCGCTCCTCAATTACCCTTCTTCGATAAAGCCACGCTCGCATTGCAGATGAGAGACAGATGGACTTTGAATTGGAATAGATACAAAAATAATCATCCTCCCACTCGGAGTGAAAATGATATATTTTGGGGTTTTTTGCTTCTGCCATAATTGCGGTCTTGTATGTGTGCGGACTGTCACTCCTGTTGACACGGACAATGTCAGCGAACTAGTGCACTGCCCACCAGCCACGCCCCCACACATGAGGTCACGCTGGCCAATCACAAAGCTTTGATGCGTTCAAGTGCATTGTTCTGGCACAGGAAGATTATGTTATAGGACGTTAACGATAAAACTGAATATTGTTGTTCTATTTTTAGACACATCTCGCGATCGACTGAGAATCTCCCCGCGATCGACCGGTCGATCGCGATCGACTGGTTGGGCACCCCTGGTCTATACCATGGTCTATACACGTGATTACAGTGTTTGGCATTGTTATAGCACTTATTTACAGCTGAAATTATTAGAAAGCCAAGCATTTAGCAAAACCAAAACCCAGATATTGTTTTAGAGGAGGAGGCTGGGGACCAGGTTTGAGTTAAAAGATATTTCTTTTTGGCATTAAAATGTGTCATGTCACCAAAGACACATTTTCAATAGGAAGTTAATGTGTGTGCTTAACAGAGAGATGCACCATGTCGATACTACTTTTACCTTTTTTTTTACGATAACTTCACTGGTTACCAAAAACGGGTTCTGAAGAATTTCAGCTTTTTCTTCATCAAATTCTGATGGGAAAAGCTGATGGTATTGATCCCTCTGTAGAGCACTATTTACAGCCCACATTTCAATCAATATCTGCTTCACACTTCACTATAGTTATTAACTTCATGTAGTTAATCCTCCAATTTCACAGCGTCGGGAGGGTCACATCAATCTCTACACTATTGAATCAAGCTTTGCTAGTAAACCTGAATATAAATATAATTCTTTAGTCTTTGAAAAATGTGTTTTTTTATTTTTTGGTAAAAAAGAAAATCCATTAGAGTGTTAATTATCTCAACAGGAGGTCAAATGAGCTGCCTCTCCTCTCTACATCACATTCCTCATCCAGCCTGTCTGCATTATTTTCCACCATCAGTCTCTTACTTTGAAATTCATTCTAGCAGCAGACTATCAAACCTACCCCATACATCATTGATTTAGTATCTGACTCTGCCATGCATATATTTTGAGTCCCTGAGTCACCAATACAGGATACATCAGGCCTTTTCACATACTGTATCTAATATATCAGTACTGCAGTGGCATCGGAATGCTGATAGTGGCATTTCAGTACAGAAACTACTAACTGTTGTTTCTTTGAGTTGTTTCTGTGACAATCAAGTAATTTACTAATTCCCATTGTAAAAAGAAAAGAAGCAGCAATTCACTGAGAGAAATCTATTGACTCGTTCTCCGTGTTACAAAAAATAAGCTATTGATTTAGTTTCTGTTAATAAACTCTGGTTTTGCAGCGAGTTTCACTCCAGGTCTTTCACAAGACACCGTTTTTAGAGCCATCTAAGGGTCTTTGTTATTAATGGCCTGAAACATTAAAAAAACAGTCCACATGACAAACACATTACCATACCAACCTTTAACAAATGTCTCTTGTCCCCCTCACTGAAACAAGTTTTTCTTGAAATGGTCTGCTCTTCAAGCTGAATTAGATATACACTGGTAACATGCATAACTATACGTTTAGGAACCTGTTTAACAAAGATACTCCATCCAAGATATTGAAATTAAACTTAGTGATTTACCGACAAGTAAAGGGAAGTACTTATGTACACATTTTCTCAAAGGTCTTACAGTTGTCCCTAGCAATGAATAATGATTTCCCCTTTTTAAGATGTGGTTTTATCTGATTACTATATCTAAAGCATTTACATGTTGGCAACATTTTAATGCCTGTTAAATTTCAGTAAAATGGAGATCTGTAACCTGAACTTAAAGTTGGCCAAAGTCAAGGCATGGTAACTAAATCCTGCTCCTCCAGGTCTCTTAGTTTGAATGATGAGGGCTGATGGCTGACCTGATGATAGGTAAAAGACAGTCCGTTTTATAATCTGAAAACGTTCAGAGATTTATAAACATTTACAACAAGTAATGTGATGATGAATCAGTTTTTGTTGGAATTTTCCTGAAAGTATTTTTAGTTAAGTACCAGCACCCTAAAATGACAGTACAGCATGTGTTAAAACGTACTTATTGTTTCTGTTTACTACCACCGGAGCAGAGACGCATGCTTCAGTAATCCCAGACTCCTGGTGAAAGTGATACTCGCAGACACACCAGACGTCTAACCTGACCTCCCTCTGCGCCTGACTCATCTGCGCGATGACACGGCTGGTGAAAAGGGTAAAGAGGGTTGGTTTGTGTTCGGGCATACATTATTTTAAAATACAGAAAGTACATTTTTTCCCCAAGAAAGTATCCCAAATGCCTTCAATATCAGAATAGTAGATAATGTTCTCCTCATATTTGTCAGACAAAAAGGTTTGTGTTTCAAAAGATTGGTAGATAGATAGGTTGAGACGGCAGCTATGTCAAAATAATACATTTAATTGTCAAAAAGTCCATCCAAGTCACACTTGAAGGATTGTGTTTAGATGGGTTTACTTGGCTTTACACAGCAGTGCTTTGAGCTAATATGCTCACAATGAAAAGGCTAACATGCTGATGTTCAGTAAGTATAATGTGCCGTAACCATTGTCTTAGTACGGCTTGTTAGCAGGCTTACATTTGCTTTTTAGCAGTAAACACAATTTACTGGTTCCAAATTGCATGGTGATTCATACATGCACTATATCACACATTTACCTGGAATGGGCAGTAGAGGAAAAGTTTAAAGGATTGGCAAACTCCTTGGGATTGGTCCTCCTAAGCCTTATTCATACAGGAAGTGCCTCGAGACAGGGAGGGGTGACTTGGCAAAGACGGCACACCAGTTAATAGAGGATGACAAAACGGATACAAAATACAATCATTAAACACAAATGCTCAGATGATTTCTTCAACATGATTGATCTTTAAATGTGTTGTGAGTGAGAGGCCAGATGGGTGTGGTGCTGTGTGCAGTAGGATGGGCTGGATAATACGAAGCATACAAAGAGGGTTTGGTTAGTGATCTGGAGTCGGGCTCTAATTAACTGAGGTGTTTAAATTCAAACCAGAGATGGCGGCCGTTTACTAATTTAATCCCAGAAGCGCTGTAGGAATGCCACATCTTTTTAATACAGACGTAAAAGTAAAGATTAGGTCATTGCTCAGTTAAGCCTAATGGATAGATGGAATCCTCAGGAATTACCAATTTGGCTGCTCCTCCTATAAGCTCAGGTTTTAGTGAGGAGACGGCGCCGAGGTCCATCAGCCGTCCTCCGGGAATTTGCATTTGTACTCAGTCTGTGTTATCTGCTTAAAATAGTGAGGCCTTCTTTTGGTTTTCTGACATTTGATGCCCTTTGAAGTCCAAACATCTTTATCAACACACACTCAGACCTCCTCCATTGCTTATTCATGAGGCTCTGGCACACACTCAGGCCCCGTGCGGCTCAGGCTACTGGAGGCGTCTCTGTTGAAGCTTTGTTTGTTTCACTTTTAAAGCCAAAATTGCCATTTCCTAATCCTTCAGCAGCTTCTTCGTTTCTCTGAGAGAATTTGGTGAGGTTGTTTGGCCTGTTGGGATTAGGCCAGTCACTGTTTTTTCTCCTTCAGTTTATGCTTTCTGCTGATATTTGCTGATTCACTCTGCGGACTTATAAACCCCTTATCTTTGTTTATATTCCTTGAGGAAATAGAGCACTTTTTTAGGAAAATGTACTCGGACTCTGAATTGCTTTGGTACCACACTCATACACATTGATATTGCTTTAATGAAGACAGGGCAGTTCTATACAGCTTGGGAAATTCATCAATTTGTAGATCAAAGTTATTTGCATTCATTTTGAGAATTGACTTTTTTAGATCATTCAAAATACCAAACATATTTTCTTTCAGCTTTGTTCTTTCAGAATTAGTATTTTATTTGTCTTACATGACAGCAAATCTATGATTTTAAGGTGTTGGATAACAGCTGGTCGATGTAAAGAAAATCCTATATGACAATATTTAATTTATACAAGATATTTCCACAATGAGATGATACATAATCATCAGTAATGAAGATTTAACGACTAGGCGGATAAAGAAAAATAGACCTTCTAGAACAGAACATTGAATAACTTTACTATAATGCAGCTTTAAAACCAGGAAAAGACAACACAAATTTCGATATCAGAACTCTAAGATGATATCCAGTCTCGTATCACTTTTCTGATATAATATCAATATTTGACCCTGAGTATTAGTTTGGTTTGCTGGTCAGAAAAATATAAGAAATGTATCGCTTAAGACTCTGGAGAACTGTAGATTTACACCAGAAAGTCAACAATCAGTTAAGTGAAAAATAATAGTTAATTTCAGCCCCTATCTACTATCTAATTCTCTTCTTTCTTTCTTTTTATGTTCTCCACATCTCTCTGCCCCCCTACTTCCTCTCCATCTGTCCTCCGTCTCTCCTCGCAGCATGTGGTGGGAGCCGCAGGTTTTGTAGAATGAAGAGCCCGGCGCACCGCACCAGGGACATCGAGAGGCAAGCTGGCTACCTGAGGCCCGAGCACTGCGCCCCCCCCCCCGCTGCGCTACGGCTCCGACACCATGTGGTTCATCCACGACGGCTGCGGCATCGTGTGCGGCGTCATCACCTGGTTCCTGGTCTTTTACGCCGAGTTTGTGGTGGTGTTCGTCGTGTTGCTGCCTGCCAAGAGCGTGATCTACAGCCTCTTCAACGGGCTGATCTTCAACGCCCTCGGGGTCCTCGCCCTCGCCTCTCATGCTAAGGCCATGTGCACAGACCCGGTCAGTCACACTCTCATCTGGTTACTTTACTGTCACCCAGTACTCTAATAACACACAGATTGTAGATACAAAATGGTTGTAGCGTTTGCAGATGCATGTTTTTAGATCTAGTTTTAATGTCACTATAATATTTGCGTTGATCCTTTATGGTACATATGTTTTAATGTAATTATGACAGACTTTAATGAGACACAGCTAACTTGTGGTAACTCTGTGGTATTCCAGTGTAGAGTTTGGTTTTGGACCCACTGCTTACATATTACCTGGGACCACTTACTGACATTATCCTGCCCCATTGATATGTTTCCTTTTTAAAGGGTAATTCCTATGTTTATGGAACGTCTCCAGCTAAATCAATGACAGGAAAACCCTGTAAAACATCCACAGGTACAGAAACTACAATTGTATTCCTTGTCAATGCCTCTGTTTTCTTCAGGGAGCCGTGCCTAAAGGGAACGCTACCAAAGAGTTCATCGAAAGCCTGCAGCTCAAACCCGGACAGGTGGTCTACAAGTGTCCCAAGTGCTGCAGCATAAAGCCTGACCGAGCTCACCACTGCAGGTACGGCACTCCCTGTGATAGTGCAGATTGTAGGGAAGATTACAAACTTGACAACTTCTAAGATGTGGGTCTGGGCGATTAGAGTTTTCTGCTGAAGTCTGCACATTGCAGAGGAAAGTCCTCATGCGTGTCTTCACTTCTTTACTCATCTGTTCCACTGATGAATCGCCGGCCTCTACTGTGTGTGTTTTTCTTTGAGCGTAGCATTTCCCTGCAGGCTTTGCAGGTGGATGTTAAGGAGTTCCCTCCGAGGAAGCTCAGTGGTACCCTGGGATCTTCAGGCATGAAAAGCACAAAAACACTTCAGCGTAACTGAATTGTAAAGCCAGTGACTCATTCTGTCTGAGAGAAAAATGGGTGTCAGTTTAAATTAAGAAGATGATATCTTCTTCTTATGAGTCATTCCTGTGGGTAGTTGTAATGATACCCTTGTCTCTAGTGACCAATAGGATGAAAATATATTACACACAAGATTGCAGCTTTGTAAATATAGATTTAGCTTAGAGAGCGTGTAAACAAGGCACATGAATAAATCTAGCAGGATTTTCTGATTCGTCAGATGACAACTTCTGAATTGTCAGACCTTACTTGAGATGCATAAGAAATGTAATTCTGCGAGATAAATAAGCACTCGCACGCACACACACAAACGGACATAGTCCAGCCACCATGATTGAGAGCACAACGATCCTGTCTCTCACTTCACTTTGATTGTGTCCTTATCTTACTGTTATTAGAAAAATACACTCTGTTTTCAGATTGGTATTTTGCCTGCAATGTTTGTATTCATTTTCATCAACTTTATCTTTGTGTGTCTGTGTGCCCACAGTGTGTGTAAACGCTGCATCAAAAAGATGGACCACCACTGTCCCTGGGTGAATAACTGTGTCGGAGAGAGCAATCAGAAATACTTTGTGCTCTTCACAGTGAGTCTTAAAACACTTGAACCAATATGCTTTTACACAAGTAATAGGGTTGGCTGTATTGCATGGCTAAATATGTAAGCAAAAATATTGAGGAGGAGCAGAAATGCAACAAGTACCTGCCGCCTTCATTCTATATTTACTGTTTTTATCTCAACTTATATGCAACCCCTATGTAAATAACATTGGTATGAAATATAGATTAGATACATGTCTTGATATTATGATTATCTTATGCTTTGTTTTGCTCTTTTTCTCTCGACAGATGTATATTTCACTCATATCTTTCCATGCCCTGATCTTGGTGGCCTTCCATTTTGTTTTCTGCTTTGAAGAAGACTGGACAAGTACGTGATGAACTGATGTAGCAGCTGCTCAGTGTACACAGGGACTTTATTGTTTTACCACCATTAATGTGCAAATATAGCTGATTATATCCAACGGAGAATTTTAAAGAGGCAAAGCTGCAAACGTATAATACATTCTAACCAACCATATCCAGAATGTACCATTAGTAGTTATATTCTTATGTCCTGTGAGAGATTTTAGGAAAGAGCTTGACTCCATTTTGTTGCTATGCATTTTCACATGGATAAAATACTCCTTTACAACTTGACAAATCTTTCTTCACTCTTCTTTTCCAGAGTGCAGTAACTTCTCTCCACCGGCTACCGTCATCCTCCTCATCCTCCTCTGCTTTGAGGCTCTCCTCTTCCTGATCTTCACTGCAGTCATGTTTGGGACCCAGGTCCACTCCATCTGCTCCGATGAGACGGTGAGTAAAAACTTAAAAGTCATTAAATAGTCAGACTTTAAAAAATCCAAATTGGAATCAGCCAAGGAAATTACACCTGGTGCATCCCTTACAACCAAATCTGTTTTTGTATAAGTATGTGTTGGGCTGGTTGAGTTTAGGCAGCAAGTTATCCTGACACACATGTAGGTTCCTTTCTGCCGCTCTGACTTTTTAAAATAAGTCATGAATTCATCCTGTGTGTTGTTTACTAAATCATAGCACAGATGATAGCAGGAGCAGGTCATTTGCTTACTCTGCAGCCTCCAGGTAGGTGAGATTATTTCCCATACTGTGTCGGCTCAACCACCCACAACAATGACTCACGGCGGCTTGATCTTCTATACAAAGATCATCTACTTCAGTCCATTTTGTACCTGTGTGCTGTTCTTTGACACCAGGGAATGCTGACAGTGAGTCACCATAATCATACTTAAAGGAATACTTGTTGATTATTTTAAAATATATTACTCACCCTGTTTTATCTGTAACTCTTGAAGAAAACTTTTTTCATCCAATGGCTCCGATGAATACAATCTCTAAGGGTTGAGCAAAGTATTTTTTTTTCTGCTTTTCTGATTCTACGTTCACCGTGGAGGCATCCAAGAATTTCAATTACGCGTTCAAGGTAACACGGGGAGTTACTGATGGCTGAACCAGACCACAAAAAAAAGTACAAATACAAAACATCCCTGTCACTGGTTACTTTATAATGGTTCATTTAACATTTGGATACACAGCTATATATTCAGCTTTAATCAGTTCTGGAGATTGTCAGATTATGATGTTTGTCACTTCTTTACCTGCAGGGTATCGAACAGCTTAAGAAGGAGGAGAGACGATGGGCCAAAAGGTCCAAATGGATGAATTTGAAGGTGGTGTTTGGCCATCCGTTCTCTATAGCCTGGCTGAGCCCCTTTGCAACACCCGACCACGGCAAGGCAAACTTGTACCAGTACATTGTGTGAAAACTGAAGCCTGGCTGAGCTCTGCTGCTGTGGACTTCCCCGATATCCCTTCCTATTGGCTGGACCTCAACGAGCATGAACTCCTCTTTACCACTTCTACATTTTCTTTCATTTATGGATATTTTGTTGATCAATATTATCAGGGTGTTCTGTTGTGAGTTCCGTTGTCAAACATCTTTTGGTTTTTAAAACATTCACCCTCTTTTTATTTTTGTTTGGCTGGTGCTGACTGAGAGTTGTTGCAACAACTTGACAAGAAGCACTTAAACCACAGCCAGAGGCGGAGTTCTTCCTGCAGTATGTCTGATCATTTCCTGCTTCCAAAACTAGACAATAATGTGAACTCGAAACCGAAGTCCAGAAAGTTTCACTGTCCGTGTGACAAAATGGACTCCGGAGTTTGTCTTCCTGTAAACATTGTAATCCTGTCTCTTCTTTATATGCTGTATTCCTGTTGTTGCAATAGTCTTTTGCTAAATGCTGCGGGTAATTTGCCTTAGAACAGTGCATTAGTGAACGTTGGCCTCTGCTTTTTTGTTTAAAGAAATGTTTATTATTTTTGCCTTATCAAGACATTCAGGGTGAGACAGGATCTTATTAGTTACATATTTTATTAAATGAGATTGTCTTGTTGTTCTTTGATGCCAGATAGGTGGATAAATCCAGGTATTTTAGGAACTGTAACTTGACACTACATTTGATCAAATTTATGTTTTGATTTACATACTTTTAGTCTGCACTTTATCCCGCCTTTCTGGCTTATCATATACAAACAGGTTAGGTATGTGTTTTTTGTTTTTTGTTGTTTGGACGGGCCATTAGCTAATTTCCAGCCAAAACCGGAGCTGTGAAGGACATCCAAAGGCTGTAGGACAGTTCACTGCCTTAGTTAAAGTTATACTCTGGTTGATATGGCAACAGTCAATGGTTTCCATAGCACAATTTATAATACTACAGTGAACCCTCGCTGAGCAGCTATTTTGTCAGAAATACGACCAAAACAAGCAGCAGTAGCTACCAAACAAAATGAACAATCAGCACCATAATCAGCTGTGCTCTGATTTTATGTTTGGACCTCAAGCGAATTAAGATAAACAGTGTGTGGGGCTTGTCCTTCAGGAGGAGTGGATGAGAAGATGAGAGCAGGCAACATGATAACATAATTAAAGTTTAACTAGGAACCATCTGGTGATTCAGATCACAGCAGCCACACTGCCAAATCGGATCAGGGGCGTAAAGTAGGGCTAACTTTGGCCCCTTCAGCGTTTCCTGCACCCCTACTTAAGCCTTCCTCAGACTACTCCTGAGTTTTAATCTGCAGCAATATATTTTTTCCTCCTTGAATTTTTTATCGAAACACACTGTGACTATTAATGAAATAAGATTAAAGGCTTTGAGTCGCTTATTGGTCATTTCAATTTGTGGCAAGAAAGGCAGACTTGCCTCTGACAAAGAAAAACACTATACGGAGAGGTAATAACTGAATTAATTTACATCAAATGGTTACTTGGTATAAATCTTGAGCTGAAATTCATAGAAATCCTATGAATTATAATTTTTAAATCACTTGGAAGGTAAGCAGTTGTGTCTAGTCCAAGAAGCGCTGCAGCTTTTAAATGTCGATCGTATTTATAATCCAGTAGTTTGTTTTGACCAGTGTCTTTTTGATTATTTGACAACTCTTATGTAGCGAATCTAGTCGACCTCTTGGCTTCGTACCAGTTTAAATCGGTCACCAGCAATTGATGGAATTTGCTTTTCGATAATCCAGTTTGTCATAGATTGTAGTTGTGAGGCTGACTAGAGGGGAAAAGCCTGCAGGATAAAATGTTGGTTTGAATTTAGGCCAGTGTAAAATGTTCACCGAGGCCTGAAAGATCATATTAGGAATGCACGTTTTAACAGCACTGGAGCATCCAGTGTGAGGAGGATGTTTCACTTTTGTTGGGAATAATTTGGTGCAGATAGGAAATAGTTCACTTCAAAGCATTTAACACTAAAAATGCCTTTGCTGAAATGTGTTCGAAAGCCTTACTGTATTTAAAACAAGTGTTTTAAGGGTGATGAAAGGACACATTTGAACATACATGTTGCCAAATTGAATGCTTATTGAAGTAACCATTTCAAGATCGAGATATTCTCACGATTTAAAAAAACAAACAGGTTTTATGAAATGCAAACATTTGATCATATGGAGATGCTATGGTTGCTGTCTAGTTTACACATACTGTACACCAGCTTTCTTCTAGAATTGTTTAATATGTCCTTTGTGGTCAGGTATGAATAGCCTTTTTTAGTACTTACTGTGGACCACATTTTATTTTTGACTGGTATTTGTTTAAAGGGGAATGAAATAAAATGGTATGTGACACAACTTTCTTCAAATGTTATGGTTAATGATTGTTGCCATCCGTTTTCTTTATATTTTGGCAGAACATTTTTGACTAATTCGGGTGTTTTAAAAAAAAAAAGAGAGAAAGGTATTCCTTTTTGAGATAATTGGCTTGCTTATTACAGGGATGGAATAAAACATTATACTTGACACTATTGTCAAATAACTATATTCAAACACATACATTATACAATTCTGTCCAAGCTGTTATCTGCCATGTTACTGGGGTGCAAGGCATTTGAAAAGGCTATAAAGGGATTTAAGTTTCATCTGCCATTTTTCCAAGAGGTATTTAAAGAAATGGCTGGTCTAATGAAGCATCACCGTGTGAATACAGGTAGACTAGCTCAGGGCTAACATCACATCCAGCCCTATAAAGTGAGAACACATTTCATACATTACTTAGGAAATTGAGCCCAATGAGTATAATGTCCCTGTTTGTTGTAGAAAAACAGTCAGGCCATTTACTTATTCAACCTTGGAAAGTAGAATGGCTCTATAAAGCTACTCTATTTAAAGACGAAAGCTGTCTTGAAGACGTACTTAACATCTTCTCACAGCCAATAATATCTGAGTGATGGAGACGAGAATCTTGATAGTCAGATAAGATGTTTTATTTAATAATTCAACAGTATTTCTTCTCTCAGTGAGGATGGCAATTGATACGTTCTTTAAAGTGTTTCCTATGAAGAGAATATATTTACCCTTTTACAAACCTTCAGAATAAATTGATACCTAATCTTTATATCTAAGTTGTACCAACAAACTACTGCAAAATCGGTGTCTTTCCATTTATTCTACCATGAGATGAGTCAAAACTTTACTGAATCAGAAAAAGGACTCATACATTTACTGTTTTATAGCAGTGCAGCACATTAACTCATCAATGCGACACACACCGTGTGAGGTCCACGTTATAACTCAGTGATTTTCTAATCTCTCTGTACAACCCAATCTACAGTTTAAGTGCACATAAATACATCACACCCAGGGCCATGCGGCTGTCATGGAGCTTTAAATGTGGCAACTGCCAAGCTCCAGCTGGTTATATTACAGTGGGAGTGGATTCACAGGTAGATGGTTTAACATCATATCATGCCAATAACTGGAGGAAAAGCCAGGCACATTATAACCCTTCAGAATGTAAAGAAAAATATTACAGATATCAAAGGTGTGTTAAAGAAATAGTTTGACATTTTTGGAAATGCAATTATTTCCTTTCTTGCTGAGAGTTTGATGAGAAGATCTCTCATGTCTTTCTGTTACTTTGATGCTATACAGCTAGCAGCCTAGCTTATCAGAACAACTGTAAAGAGCTAGCCTGTGGTAACATACCAAACAGCACCTCCTAAACTCATATATTCACAAGTTATATGCAGCAATCCGGTAGTCCACAAATACAAAATAAACTGTCAAATTGTCAAGTAGTGAGAAATAGTCTGGCAGATAACCTCCCATTAAGCCCTACTGTCAAGTAAATAGGAAGCTAGACTGGTTAGCTTAGCATAGACTATTTAAACTGCCTGTCTCTCTGTTCAAATGCCAAATTACACCCTACTGGTAGTACTGGAAGGCCTCCTATTCCCCTTAAATAGAGACAGGCTAGCTGTTTCCCCTGTTTTCAGTCTTGATGATAAGCTAAGCTAACTTGCTAACATCTACAGTTTATATTGTGAGACCAGACATAAGAGTTGTATCAATCTTATCTAACTCTCTACAAGAAAGCAAATTCACTTCTCTGTGGCTGTGAGTTATCTCCACTGTTTAAGAAATATAACAACACTCAGCCAATCTTTAACTTTAGAGCTTCATAATCACATTGTCACTGCAGTCACATTAATAGAGATGCATGTAAATCACATGATACAAACCCTACACAGCAGCAGCTGGAAGGATATATTTGTGCATTGCTGCTGTGGAACATTACATACAGGTATTAGAGCTACCATTCTGCATTTATATTATGATATGTATCTAGACAACAGCAAAGTGTGATCTTAAAACAGTTCAATAAAGCAACCTTTCATGTCATATTCAGTCCAACCCCTGTACTTGGCTGATTTACGCTTACCGAAACGTCCCTCTAGCAGGCAGAATTTTTTACATGTATCATTTTCTACATTACATCATGAATACTCAAAGCATCATTCACTTTTATACACATCACAGTGTTATGAGATTTAAAGGTGAATAATGTTATTGCACTCTCACTGACAACTCCAGGGATGTAGAGGGAGCTTTTAATAAAGCCAGGTTAAACCCAGAGTGATGATGGTCTATCTATGGACAGGAAAATATAAGATTGTAAATGCATGGCGCACGCATAAAGCTCAACAGGCAATTAAAGAGGCCATGTGATGTCTCTGATGCTTAAGAGACGGTTTGGACACTTTAGTCACATGATTGTGAATTTAATAACATTATTCAGCTCACAGGGACTTCCCTCTGATGTGGACTGACGCTCCAGGATGCTTTGGTGTGAGAGATTTTAGTTACATTTTCAGTAGAAACATGCAACGTCCAACATAAAGTGGAAGAGCATCTTCCTCTGAATCATAAAATGTGTCATGCTCCTATCTTGAGGTTCAAGCTGTCAAGAAAGGCAAATCATATGTTTGTTAAAGAACCAAAGGATGAAACTTTCAAAGCTACATAAGTATTATTTCTTGTGAAAATAAGATTTATTCAGCTAAGTGCTTCCCTATTAACCTGCCTCAAGCATGCATAAAATGCAACGTCAGTGTAAGATGTTTACAGTGACTGTCTTAGTTATTTAAGGAAATGTCAGAATTAAGAAAGCTTTGGTGATTTGACGGCTACGATACATAATGCACTGGCTGATTAATAGTGACATTGTGAGCATGGCCAATTATGCTATTTGTCCATTTCTCATGAACACAACACCAAAGATTGACGAGAGATCAGTCTGACCATATGGCCACAGGTTTTCAAAGTATACATAGGCTACATATCTGTTAATAATTTTGTGTCTATTCCTTTAATGAAATAGTTTTGAATGCAATGACTTCCTTATTGCAGAGAGTTAGATGAAGATTCGTGAAGATTGTAACTCTCAATTGTCTGTCAAATACAAAGCTGCAGCTAAAGAACTTTAGCTTAGCACAAAGACAGTAAAAGGGAAAATAGCTAGCCTGGCTCTGTACAAAACTAACAATATCTGACTTGTTTTTCAATCCATACAATACCATATTGAAAAACAAAGACTTTGTGGTTTTACCGAATGAGTAAAAAAATAGGTATAACATGTTAACAACAGAGATTTGATGATACTAGTAGGCAGATCTTCTTAAGTTCAAGAAGAACCAGGCTCTCTGTTACCCTCTGCCACTTGTTATGCTAAGCTTACTGCAAACATAGGAGTGCATGGTGTCAATGTTTTCATCTAACTCTCTGTCGGAAGTGCATTTCCCAAAATGTCAAATTATTTGTAGCCTTTTCCATTGCCTCACACCTTTTCTGTTAGCTCACACGCTTTTTTTGCTGCTGTTGACAGAAAGATTTCCCAAAAGTAGCATAAATCTAGTATCATTTTTGCTTTATTATAAGCTCGTCTGCAAAGATAATTTTAGAGCATCTGGGAAACTGGGCACAGACATCCATTATCTTGTCTCCACTAGCCAGATTGTAGCTGGGCATGGCCAGACTGACTAAAGGCCAACGCCTCCTCTGATTTTAAAACAGACCTAAACAATGCTGTTCCTCAGCCAAACGGCAACCTAAAGGATAAATATTAACAATACAAATAAAGCATTTGCTTTTCATAAAGAATAATTCATTTTGAGTGGCATTTAGTTATTCCGAATACAATTTCTCTAATAAAACTTTGAGGGAGGGAAGACAGCATGTTTTTTTAAATGACATTTTCTTTGGCTAGATCAAATCAGAGGAGATGCCAACCAAAACACTCCTATTACCACAGTAATAGGCCAGTTGGAGCCAGGCCCAACTCTAGTGGAGACCAGTCATATCATTCGTCCTTGTGTCCTGCGTCATGTTGTGCATCCTGCGGTGAAACCCTCTGCAGTACCAACAGACCAGAGAAGGTCAGGGAGATCCCAACCCACCACAACGTTATCTGGGCTTCACCAAAGATCAGCTGGCCCAGGAAAGCCTGCAGGGAGAAACAAATTAGGGTTTATTTTTTAACAAAGTAAATCAGTCTCTTTAATGATGCCTTGAGGGGATATGTCAAACAAGGAGGTGAACTTAGTTATTTCTGAAAATATTCCTAGCCTAGTTTCTAAAATAAAGCAGCTTTTACAGTATAAGGACGAAAGGTCACTTTGAAAATAACATACTCCACTACAGCAAGTATTATGATTAGAGGACAAGTGGTAGGCTAGATCCTGTAAAATAAACGGTTACTTACGGAAGATATAAAGTTAGAGGCCGTGGTGGTCACAGTGGTTTGGGTGGAGGAAGAGGAGTACCTAAGTGCTTTGGCAAGAAAGGTCCACATCACAGCATTGCAGGTGAAAAGCAGCCCCCCACACAGCAGCCTCAGAGGGATATGGAGCTGAAAACAAACAGCATGAGTGTTATAAGCAAAGACACTATGTCTGAAAGTCTTATGACGCATCAAACCTCATGGTCCATAACAAAATCATATGTTTTGCATTCACCAGGGCTGCATACCTAATTTGCAATTTCAAATAGCCATCAGTTTAAAGGTCACTGTTTCCAGACAGCTGCCTGCAGATGTTTCTGACATCATCTTGTGACGTGTGCAGAGAGCGTGAAGGTCACACAGAAACCTGATCCCCCTTTACAGAAACCAGCCTCTTCTCCACAACCTTCAACACATCAACCACTGTAAGACAATTGCACAACAACGCAATACACGCACACACACTCGTACAAGCTGCAATGTCATTCAGCACGAGGATACAGCACGAGGGCGCAGCAGCTGCATGGGCTCCCCCTTAGTGATGGTGAGTGGTGGTGCTAATGCTGAGGGGAGTCAGAG